TTCAGAACTTGTGTTTCGTTGCCCATGTACTGAGTTTCAGTGATCTTGTTAAATGATCTGGTTGCCTGGCCTGGCCTCGGGGGGACACACTGTTTCATTGTGATGTGCAGAAGCGTATATAGAAAGGCTCTGGTGTGACACAATTTATGGGCGAACAATTTATAGGTGTATTTTTCTCGGTCTCTCATGAAGAGTTTGCAAAACATTAAAGGGCTGATCAGTCGTTGGCTTCATCTGTTGATTTGATCTGGGGATCAGGAGGTAGGAGTTCATCCTGTGACCGGTGGTTTGCCGGTTCTAACTCCCACACTGTCTTTCTCGGCTGTTGTCACCCGCCTTGTCTTCTGGTGGTGGTCAGAGGGTCTGGTGGCCGGCGATGGCGCATGGCAGTCTCTCTTCTGTCTGTCTGAACTTGGGCAGCTGTGGCTATGTTGTGGCACACCACAATCAGGGTGTGAATATGTGTAAATGTAGTGTAAACTGCTTTGGGGTCCTCTGGATTTGAAAAAGCGCAATACAGATAAAGGCCATTTACAATTAATCGGTGCTTCATAAGTAGAAATCAGCAGTGATTAATCCAGCTAGACCCGGCGGAGCAGAGCATGCTGTCGTCCTAGAAGCAAACTGTTTGGATGACCAAATGGTGTACAGTCCAATAAAGAATCTGAAATCTCTGTGCAATATATGCCCTGTTGGGTCATTTAACCTGACCAGAGTTTAAGGAAACGCATATAAAGGGTTCATGTAACTTCATAAGGTTGTCTGTATTGCTCCATCCAAACTCCTTACACTTTTTCCAGTTTCCAGAGTAAGGAAAGTAATGAGACAGACCTAGTGTTTTGGAGGTGCACGACATTGGCTAAGACAGTTTTGTTTTGTGTTACTCTTTGTAGGGTTCCCTGTGGGACCATTTCTTTTTGGTGGGGGGTGTGACAACTCCTGTCTCTCCCGGGGTTAATGTTTGTTCTTTTATTCCTCAAGTGAAGTGGGTGTGGCAGCTGACTGGGATCACCCAGCTACTAACTCCACCACAGACTGCTCATACTCTCCCCATAGCAAGCAGTCTGCTGTTACGTTTTGGCATGAGCTGAGTCATGACAATTGCCTAATAATTATGCATGATGACAGTGATATTCAGATATTCTCCTAAGAAAGCCAAAACCTCATGTTTGCTTTCTTAGACATTGATGTTTGAAGTATATAAACATTTTGGATTAACTGAGAGCCCTGTAATTGATTGATCCTCAAATTAAGGCTTGCATAACTGTGTGCAGATTGTAGAATCAATTTGGAATGTATGCAACTGACGAGTGTGTGTGTGTGTGTGTGTGTGTGTGTGTGTGTGTGTGTGTGTGTGTGTGTGTGTGTGTGTGTGTGTGTGTGTAGGTGTGTGTGCGCGTGTGTGCGGGTGTGTGATTCAATCTGTATGACTTGAATGCTGTGAAAAAATGCATTGTGAATTGGCGCTATATGCTATAAATAAACTGAATTGGTTTGTGTGGATGGTTGTTTGTCATATTTGTCTCTGTGTTGCCGTCTGATCACTGGAAATTTGTACATCGCCTCTTACCCAGTGACCGCTAGAGATATGCATCCCTGTGCAGATGAGCGGATGTAAACAATGGTTGGTTATTTATGTAAACAGGAAGGTCACCTGAAGTCAGAACTCCTAATTTAAGATTACCTTTACAGTGTTATAGCTTGGGCTACACTTGTAAAAGCACAGGGTGACTTTTATAAGAATTTTACAACAGGAAATGGTGGCATTAAGCAGTCTAATGTTGTCAAACTTCTAATATACAAAAAATGATCTCTCCTTCATCCCAAAGGTATTCCATTGTTTATCACAAGCATAGTCTCACTTGTGTTATTATGCTCTGACTTGTATTTTTTAACTTTGTGACAGAATTCTGACAGAAACCAATCAGAAGAGCAGTTCATTGTGGCTACATGAAGCACCTGTTTGCTAGATGTTAACATTAATTTAAATAGAACTGTGCTATATGTCTATGTTATGGGAGTATAATAAAACACAATGTTCTTTGCAGGTTGGTCGTTTCTTTGGGGAGGTGGACGGGTCGGTCATGGCTTCACTCATCAAAATGGGAATGTTTAAAAAGTAGGACTTCGTCAGACACCCTTCAGCTGAGCCGTTCTGTCTGCTGCCAACCTAAACACAATCTGGATGTTTATTTGCAGAGTGTCTCTGTTTGACTACCAGGCTATGTGCAAGAACAGTCACCATCATGCCAGCAGTGCTCGACCTTTGCTTAGTGTAAGTCTCTCAGCACACTGAGCAACTTTTGATATAATATAACAGAGTTTTGACAGCATAGATCAGAATCACAGGAAATCATTTATTATAATAATTATTAATGTGTTTAGTTCAATATATTTTTTTCCTTTGAAATCTTGCAAATACCTTCCTCCTGTTTAGCCGTTCTACATGATTTTGGCTTTGATGAGATGGCTCTTCTCCAACGCTTTGATGTAAGTATCTGTATCTGTAATGGAGGATCTGTGATTATTGTGGATCTGATTTCCATTATTCAAACATTGGTACCAAAGAAAGTTTCAACTGTTGGTACCAACAGTTTCAGCAGAGAAGTAAATTAGACTAGGCTGGTCCCAATCCAGCATTTTAATGTTTTCATTCAGTGTTTCCTTGGTAAATCAAACTACACAGCAAATTCAGAAGTGTCAGATTTCCAGTGCAAGTGTTGTATGTTAAAAATACAGTGTTAATTCAACAACATGAGTGTTAGCTCCCCTAACACTCACTAAAGAGTTCCAAAGAGTTAAACAAAAAGCAATCCAGTCCAGTGTGGATTTCTAAATTAACACCAACAGTCTACATCAACACTCAGTCTGGTGTTGATTTAGAAATCAACACTCAGTCTGGTGTTGATTTAGAAATCAACATCAGACAGTTCCTCCCACAATTGTAAAATATCTGCGACATCACATCAGGGAGGGAGCAACAGATAGAGTAGGGGTTGCAGCAGGATCCCCAGCCTGGACCTACAGGGGGGGCCACATGGGAGGTAAAACATGCCTTCAGAGATCAAAATTTTCTTTAAAAAAAAAAAAAATCTGATGAGAACTGTAAAGGAGGGCCTTCCCCTGTTGAGAACTGTGTACAGTACCACAGTAGGTTATATAGTAGGGTTCCCCATTGTTGACTCATGGTTGTTAAAAACCTTACCAGACTGATTTTAGTGACATAGTGGGTGT